AAAAACTTAGACATTGTTTAAACCCTCAAAAGCAGCTGATAAAAATTCATACTCATAGAAAAGTGTTGGTGAGGAAATTTCCTCATAATTATGTATCCAAAAGAATGGTACAGAGAGAATATTTCCAAACAAATTATGTGGTCCAAAAAAATTGGTCTCAAACATTATGCTAAGGTCCAATCAGACCCAGCTATTACGCATGTATGTAACTAAAGGACAAGAGTGTGTGAAAATGATGGTGTTTGTGACTAATTATTAGTCTCCGAGTTAACATTTATCTCTAAATTCGATGCAAATCAAATAAATAATTAGTTTCAAGGGAGTCTTAAAAGGTTTCAATAATGTTGATATTTTTGGCTTTATGAAAGCATCATCGCATGTGAACTTGGGTCAACGCTAGAGTTCGAAATTTCACAACATCTTTCGTGCATTCTGGTATACGTTAACAAACAGTATTGACCATAAAATGTAATTAATTCCATCTTGCTTTTGGTGCGATGCCTACGCTAGAAACGTCACTTTCTTTAGTTTGTTCAACAATGGCATGTTTGTTCGACAATGGCACGTTCCCCATCGCGAGTCACGTAGATTTAGCCCTGATTGATGATCACTATTTTGAAAAAAAATGATATTTTGAACAGTGATTTTTGAAGAATGTGATTAAAAAATAGAAAAACTTTTGAATTTACGTTGAAAATATTTTATTGTATGAATGTGTAGTTGAAATGAATCTGAAAATTAAATAGTTTTATTTTAAAAGAAGACAAACATGGGCTTAATATTAGTGTAAAAAGTTCGACTGGTCATTGATAAGATCAAAATTGGTCAATCCAGAACTCGATCTTGAGCTCTGTGTGCACGATGTTTTCATTCTTCCTTCTAGAGAAAAGTGGCCCAACCTCTAGGATCTCCCACCTTGAGATAGGTGCCATGACTCACTCATCGATAATATTACCTCGACGGTGTCTTGAGTAGTGTTTGGGGATGAGAATTAGGCGAGCCCAAAATCCCATGCGAGTTTCTCATTGGCTAATACCACGTGCAATTCCTTTAAATGGATTACCAT